CCACTGGTCCTTTGGTCCCCTGATCCCTTGGTCCTTTGGTCCTCTGGTCCACAGGCCCTTTGGCCCCCTGGTCCTTTGGTCCTGGTCCGGTCCCGTGGTCTCCTGGTCCTTTGCCCTCCTGGTTCTCTGGTCTGCGGGTTTCCTATGGTATTCTCCTTGTTCTTAGCTGTGCCAGCGCAAAGGTGAATGAAAGTGCAGGCTCAGCTCTGACGACCCCGCAAGTTGGCCTTCACCTTGAGCTGTGACGCCCAATTAAACCAATCAAGAAACGAAGCAGCCCAGCGCTGTCTATACTTGATTTGCACCCCCTCCCGCTTTCTTAGTAGATTGCCACTACCCCTGCCATTACCAGTACCTCCAACACCAGTCTTACCACAGTTACCACAACTACTATCTTCTTTGCGTTGACATTGACAGTGCCCCAAGGGTGGATGATAAGGCCCGCCTTTGCTTAGCCGTGACTGCGCCCTCCCCCGCCCCCCTTCCCACCTTTTTAAAAGTTGCCACTACCACTACCACTACCACTACTACTACTACTACTACCACCACCACCACCACCACCTACTACTACTCCTACCACCTACTACTACTACTACTACGACCACCACCACCACCACCTACTACTACCACCTAGTACTACTACTACTGCTACTACTACCGCCTACGACGACTACTACTACTACAACTACAACTACAATAACAACAACAACAACAACAACAACTACTACTACTACTACTACTGCTAACTGCTAACTGCTAACTGCTAACTACCGACTACTGACTACTAACTACTTAGTACTTAGTACTTAGTACTTACTACTTCCTACTTCCTACTTCCTACATATTACTTACTACTTACTACTTACTACTACTACTACTATTACTACTACTACTACTACTCCCACTCCCACTCCTACTCCTACTACTACTACCACTACTACTACCACTACTCCTACCTACTGCTACTACTACTACTACCACCACCTACTACTACTCCTACCACCTACTACTACTACTACTACCACCTACTACTACCACTACTACCACCACCACCACCACCTACTACTACTGCTACTACTACTGCTACTCCTACCACCTACTACTACTACTACTACTACGACAGCTACTACTACTACTTCTTCTTCTACTACTACTACTAGTACTAGTACTACTACTACTACTACTACTATTACTACTACTACTACTACTACTACTAACTACTACTAACTACGACTAACTACGACTAACTACTACGAACTACTACAAACTACTACAAACTACTACTAACTACTACTAACTACTACTAATAACAACTACTACTACTACTACTAACTGCTAACTGCTTAGTACTTACTACTTACTACTTACTACCTTTTACGTACTACTTACTACTTACTACTTACTACTTTTCTACTACTACTACTACTACTCCTACTCTCCTACTCTCCTACTCTCCTATTCTCCTACTCCCCTACTCCCCTACTCCCCTACTCCCCTACTCCCCTACTGCTACTCCCCTACTCCCCTACTCCTACTCCCCTACTCCCCTACTCCTACTCCCACTCCTACTCCCACTCCTACTCCCACTCCTACTCCTACTCCTACTACTACTACTACTATCACTACTACTACTACTACCACCTACTACTAC